ACAGTGTTTCTGAGGGTATGATTTGTGAAAAAGCAAGGCGATTGCATGATGACCTGGTAAAAAAAAATCCTGGTATGAGTGGTGATACTGATGTTTTCAAAGCTAGCAGAGGAAAAAGAATCCCCTTCCAAACAATAACATTTCACTTCCTCACCACCTTCCACTTACGCCGCCAACTCTCCTCCATACAGGTACGGTAAAACTAAATTAAGTTTTCGTCTATATTTGATCTGCTTAGTGTTGTGTTTATATTTTTTGTGATAGATATAACGGTTTCCGTTGATTTTGTTTAAGAACAAAGTACTGTTGTAAAATTTTAAATAAGCAATCATCTGGGGTCCAGGAATGGATTAATCCATTTTACATTAATTCCTATGGGGAAAATAGTTTCGGTTTACGAATGACCTTCAGGAACGAATTAAGTTTGTGAACCGAGGTTTGACTGTACTTCCACAGTCCCATCCGCCACTGACTAAAGATCAGTGAATGACCACACAGGTCCCAAACAGCCTAGACTTCTGTTTTTGATATTAAAACACTGATACAGCAGTTTGTGTAAATGGTACACACACAAAATTTCCATGTCATTAACGGGTGAAAATGCCTACCTTCTATTCATTATAAATTATCATATGATAAAAAAGCAAAAGTACATCAACTACAGTGGCATGAATACCATATTTTTCAGACTAAGACATACCAGAGTATTGGATGCAATTAGATTTTAGAAGGCACATTTTAGAAATAAACCTGTTACAACAAGAAGTGAATGACTTAGAATTTGTCATCTAATGTTGTTTGGAATTTCTTTCTTTAGTTTGAAATTATAAATTCTCACAACAATTTATGACACACATTTTACAAAGTCTACTCCTTATACATTCACAGAAACCACTTACTATCCTAAGATAGCTGTCTTCTGGGTTGTACTGCTTAGAAGTTTCCCAACACTTCAGAGGTCCTTGCTGCCTCCATCATCAGCCCTGATAGAGGTGAAAACCCAGAAGACAGCCATCTTCAGACTCACTGCCATGCAAACCTCAAATCCTACCACTTGCTGTCCTCTTTATAAAATAATTTGTACTTCATTAATCTAACAAGAAAATGTGCACTAACCAGGTGTATCTATTATATTGATATTATGATCCTTCCAAAGCGTGTAGGTAGCAGCAGACTGAATTGTTATGCCCCGTTGCCTTTCAAGTTCCATTGAATCCATAGTAGCCCCAATATTATCCTTTCCTTTCACCTGTGGAATTCACAAACATGAATAATTAAAGTAACAGTCTTTCTCTGAATCTTTTAAATCACAAACTACATAAAACTTTTAAGTTTCATATCATACCTCATGCATTTCAGCAATTCTCCCAGTATAAAATAAGATTCGTTCTGTGAGTGTTGTTTTTCCAGAATCAATATGTGCTGAGATTCCTATGTTGCGGATGCATTCTAAAGTTTTGTGCTCTGCATATTTAGCATATGATGCCATACATGCTACATTTTCCTGCAACCATAAAATCACAAATATTAATGTCAAAACTCTACAATTTTTTCATAAAATACTACTCTATTTTCCACTTTCTTCACAAATATCATACGAAACTACGGTCAAGTTCTCTGATGTGGCTCAATTAGTAATATGTGTACCTACAGTGTAAACATCCTGGGTTCAGTTCCCCAAGTATGCTCTTCTTTTCTTCAACCACCATGTTAAAAATGGCTGTGGAGGCCATAAAATGACATTTACTTTTTAAGTCTCTGCATTTTTTTTTATTAATATTCAAGAAAGGGAAGAGAACATCTGTTCTCAGGATTGTCATTATCAAATACAGATAGTTCTTGGCATTTCAAAGTTCAAATATCATCTTCTACCGTATTCAGATTTATACTCTGAACTGTGAAGACTGACAGGTAATTGTTACCATCGTTATCATCGGTCTCTTCCCTTCAGGTTTCCCAACCAGTACCCGGTGCACACCTCTTGTCCCATCCATGCGCGCTACATGTCCCGCCCATCTCACTCTTCTCGACTTAATCACCCTCACAATACTGGGGGAGCAGTACAGATTTTTAAGCTCGTCATTGTGCAGTTTTCTCCACGCCCCATCGTCTTCCCTCTTAGGCCCAAATATCCTCCTCAACACCCGATTCTCAAACACCTGCAATCTGTGTTCCTCCCTCTGAGTGAGAGACCATGTTTCGCACCCATACAAAACAACAGGCAAGATTATTGTTTTGTATACTTTAATTTTCAGGTTCTTAGAAATCAGACGGGAAGACAAAATATTTTGGACTGAGAAGTAGCAAGCATTTCCGGAATTTAGTCTCCTCCTAACTTCCTCACAAGTATCATTTTGATTTGTTATTGTTGTTCCCAAATATTTGAACTTTGTAACCCTTTCAAAGGATTTATTAGCTACCCTAAGATAATTTTGCCCGCCTGTCTTCTGATGACGAGATACTAACATGTACTTAGTTTTTTCTGAATTTACTTCCAGCCCCACTTGTCTACCAGCCTCTAGTAAAACTTCTGCGTTCCTCTTTATTGTATTTATATCGTCCCCCAATAAATTAACATCATCAGCATATGCCAATAGCTGATGTGTCCCGTTCAATTGCAAACCCTCCTGCCTACCTTGGACCTTCCTGATGGCGTATTCTAGCGCAAAGTTAAAGAGCAAGGGAGACAAAGCATCTCCTTGTTTTAGACCGTTCTTGATGAGGAATGTCTCAGATACATATTTACCTACTCGAATTTTGCTGCAGGTTTCATTTAAGCACATTTTTATTAGACCCACTAGCTTCTTTGGTATACCAAATTCAATAAGAATATTATATAGCACTTCTCTCTTCACAGAGTCATAGGCTTTTTTGAAATCTATAAATAACTGATGTACAGTCCCACCGAACTCCCATTTTTTCTCTAGTATCTGACGAATGCAAAAGATCTGATCAATCGTTGATCTGTTTCGTCTGAACCCACACTGATGATCCCCAATAGTTTCATTCGCATATGGGGTTAATCTTGCCAAAAGAATGTTGGATAGAATTTTGTATGAGGTTGATAGCAGCGATATTCCTCGGTAATTACCACACTCAGTCTTGTCCCCCTTCTTATAAATAGGAATAATTATGGATTCCTTCCATTGATGTGGCATCTCTTCCTTATCCCAAATTAACTGAATAAGCTTATGGATCCTCATATGCAACCCTTTGCCACCTGCTTTAATTAATTCGGCCGGAATCTGATCAATTCCTGGAGATTTATAACTTTTCAACTTCCCAATGGCTAGTTCCACTTCATCTAAGCTAGGTTCTGGCACCAACAGTTCAGCTGTATGCATTTTAATCTGTCTAATATCACCAGTATTATGAACATTTAAGAGCTCGCTAAAGAAATTTTTCCACCTATTCACAATTTTTATTGGATCTGCAAGCAAATTGCCACTATCATCCTTTACCAAATTAGTCTGGGGTTGATATCCTTTCTTAAAGTTATTAATGCCTCTGTACAGGTCTCTGATGTTTTTTTCCTTATTATTTGTCTCAAGTTCAGCAATTTTGCCCTTCAGGTATTCCCTTTTCTTAGTCCTAAAGGTTCTACTAGCCTCACGTCTCACGTTACATAGATTATCCGCATTTGTTTTGTTTGGGTTCTGCAACCATTGAAATTTTGTTTGCTTCCTTCGATCTATTAATTTTGAACATTCTTCATCAAACCACGGTTTATTTTGCTTTCTCCTGTAGTATCCTAGTTTCTCTTTTGCTGAAATTTTGATGCAGTTTCTGACATTTTCCCACTCCCTGTTGATGTCCACACTTTCATTATCCTCATTTGTCTCTAAAATTTGAAACCTATTCGAAATTTCAACTTGATATTGTTCCTTTGCCTCTCCCTCACTTAATTTTTTCAAATCAAATCTTTCTGTGTCAAAATTTTGTTTAGTTCGTCTACTTACTGAAAGCCGCTCCCTCACTTTTGCTACCACCAGATGATGATCAGTGTCGCAATCTGCTCCTCTGAATGATCTCACATCAATTACATTTGTCTGCCTTCTCTTATCTACTAAAACATGATCTATTTGATTGTGTGTTCTGCCATCTGGAGAAGTCCAAGTGTATTTATGAACATCACGGTTTGGAAATTTTGTACTTTTTACAATTAAATCTTTTGACGTAGCGAAGGTTACTGCTCTAAGACCGTTATCATTACTAAGTGCATGGAGACTCTCGCTGCCTATTGTGGGTTTGAAGATATCCTCCCTCCCAATTTTTGCATTGAAATCTCCTAGCAGAATTTTCATGTGATACTTGCCAAATGTATCAAATACTGATTCCAATTCTTCATAAAAGCTATCCTTGATATCATCGCTTTTGTCCTCAGTTGGGGCATGAACATTAAGGATAATGATGTCCCACTAACGTCCTTCCAAAATTACGTAAGACAACCGGTCACTAACAAATTCTACTCTCTTAACTGCAGCCCTAATTCTGCTATGAACAAAAAAACCCATCCCTAACTGATGATTGTCATTCCCCTTTCCATAGAAAATTGTAAAATTGCCCTATAGAGGCTCCTAATGTCCCAAGTACCAAATCTCATGTCCTTTTTCAATTGCCGTGGTCATGCCAAAGAGTCCATCGTTAATGTGTTCGTAACATAGCTTCTTTTTTTCCAGGTGAAAGGTTGTTAGCCTTACACCCAACCCCCAACCTGGAGGACCAGGGTATCACTCTTAGTCCAGCGCATCTCCTTAGACCTCTCCGGCTTGGGTGACCCTACCATAAGCCAAAGCTCCGGCCAGCACAGCCCTAAGGGTCATTTGAACACGCAAGCCTCCTCACCCGGCAGATTGCCTTCGACAAGGTGGTGATACCTTCGAGAAGGACTCTATTGCCATGGAAGAATAAATCAAACACAGAGCCACCTTTGCATAAGAATATAAAAGATAGTTGTTACATTGACAATGAGACATTCTGAAAAGGTGTTATATAGTAATAATTTAATTTTAGTCACAACATGCTGAGAAATCAACTGTGCTCCTCTCATTCTCAAACGTGAACAAAGTAAGAAATAAATACATGCAAAGACAAAAATAAATGACACTTCATGGCCATAAAAGCCATTACACACATTGTGATTAAGAAAACCTATTTGGCAATGAAACTTGAGTCACATGCACCATAAGCAAATATGCCACCAACTGAGCTACAGAGGGAAGTTTAAGGTCAGTTAATTAGAGAAGAAAGTCTCAAATGAAATTGCATAATATGAAGAAGCAGTGGAGTGTCAACGTTTAATATTTTGGCCAGAAAGTCTGAGGATGGTCCACTGCTATACAGAAAAACGACAGCCGAATCGGAGAGTAGCAATAGACCGGTCCCCTTGTTAGTGAGAATTTATGTACATTATCAACATCGTCACATTCCTAAACTAATGACACAAAATATTCAGAAATTTAGCAGTTGACAACAGATCTAACTTAACCGTCGTCTTTCTGCTACATGTAATTCTTACACGCGAGACCTCTATAAACCCGAAAATTAATAACTCAGGACAATCTAACCTCACTTTTCACGTTCTTTCAGGCAATCGTACACTCCATTACCTCTAATATATGTAGTTGTACAGGATTCCTCTTTAGAACTCCAGACTTCCTTGCAAGTAAGCTAAAAATTGTCATTTTCTGTATGTTTAAGTCACGTGTCCTGACGATATCTCAATCTCATACCATCCGACATCTATCACAAAAACCAAGTAGTGTTTTCTATCATCATTGACGGTAAAGAATAATTTACTCATTCATTCTTTGATGTTGGTAATGCGTAAGATTCGATGTTCGTCCTTTTTTTTTCTGGCAGAGTAAATATTAAGTTGGTATTAATCTATGCCCACAGGTACTACCGACAAGCCCGTGCTCTGTTTATCACTTGATATCTGGCCTAGTCCAAAATAAAGGCTTTAAATCACAAATGTAAAGCATGTAATATATATGAAATTTCAGGTTCTTATGGTAGCACGTATGAAGATGGCTGTCTTCTGGGTTGTTGCGCCAAGTAATCTCGTATAAGATTACCGACGTTTCACAGGTGCTTGCTGTCACTATCCGTTCTGATTATGGAGGCAACAAGCACATCTGAAACGTCGATAACTTCTACCAGACTGCACGGCGGCAACAAACCAACAGATGGTTTTCTTTCATGTTATATAGGACCAAGTGGAAGAGAAAAAATAGAAAATTAAGAAAATGGCAATACTGTGAAAACAGTATCTCTGGTAACCATGCGGCCACAGAAACGCTAGGAAACATATGGAAATTACGTAGGGGTTTTTGTTCGAATATGAAATTGCTTTCCTGGGTATGTATAGTTTTTATATGTATGACTTACATCTCGAAAGCCATTGTCCGTGAAATCATCGTTATCTTGAAGCGTACCAATAAATGCAGAAAATATATAATTTGCTAAATTTGAGTGATGTGGGTTTTATAGAAATGCAGTGATTTTAAAGCAGATTTGTCTATTCACGTGCCAAGCGGAAGGGCGCCAGTGATAATAATCTGTGGCCCCTGATTTTTAATTGTATATAAATATAAGCCTTAAAAATAACATACAAAATAACCGATTCCTTTTTACAAAGTAGCAATGAATAACTAATGTAGAAAACGCAATAAGTGTGACGTCCACTTTTATTGCTCAGGGTTGCAAACTTGTAAATATTCATGCAGCGTTGGGAAATACGACGAAAATGATCTCAGCTCTGAATCAGAATTCTTGAGAATCTAATAAATGCTTCGCTTTACTTGTCCCGAAGATTTACTTGAACCTTGTCATGAACCGTGACTAGTGACTGATCCATATCGGTCCAAATTCACACGAACTTATACCGTTTTAATCCATGCCCCAGGAATAAACATGTAACATGTAAAGATGGTTCTTCTCCATATTTTCTAATGTTTTATATATGCTACATCCTCTACCCATCTCATCCTTGATTTGATCAACACAATCATATTAAGTGGAGTACAAATTATGAAGCTCCTCATTATGAAGTTTCCAGCCTCTGTTACAAAACAACAATATTTACATTTCATAGAACCTTCATAGCACAGGTCAAATATGTGGAGCACATCACAATATGAATTCCAACACTTATTACAAATAAAATACACAAATATAACAACACGGTTGTCATGACCGTTTACAATAATTTTCAATTGAAGTAAATTATTATAATGTAAAAAGATAATGTTTTAATGTTGGCTTAAATACTTTTGGTGTTTGTTGAATTTCCCCAGAAGATAACTCCATTGGACATGACAGAATGGAAATGATGAAGATAAACTAATTTTAAAGAATTTATATGCAGGATTGGTGGGTGGCTGTCCCATAGCAAGGCATCCTGAATTTAGTTTTGTGCTTCTTCCAGTTTCAGTTATTATCAAGTTTTAAGCCAATGAATTTAATTGTTAATACTTCTTCAGTTGTTTTATTATCATAACCTGTTAGTAGCAAATTTCACAAAGCTTGTTTTGTCAAAATTTAATGTGAGTTTATTAGCTGTGAACCATTTGTTTAGGCTAGCAAAGACATCATTAATGGAGTTCTCATCATAGTCTACTAATCAGGTTGATAAATAATAATAGTAGTATAACTGGTCAGTGTGTACGTAGAGGGTGTGGAGCATGATAATTGCAGACAGACATTGAGGATACATGGAGCTGATTCTGACACCCCAGTTCCATGACCCAAGATATTTCCTTTCCCATTTCAGTTATATGAAATATGAGTTTTGAAATAGAGCACTTTCATTGCATACAACTCTTTTTTGTTCATTTTACCATGATAAACATGTTAATGAAAAGAAATATTTCTCATAACAGGGTACTGTGTTCTGCAGCAGCATCTGTTTCACTGGAACAAATAATATGCTGCAAAACAAATGACATTGTTTTTAAATGTTATTAGTGCCTGTAATATTATGGAATCATGTATTCCTAAAAGGATGTTCTTCTCTTCAGGGGGCTAATACATACAGTCAACTGGGACAAGGCTTCAAGTCAGAGCAATGTGTCCTTCCAGGAGAGCTAGAGAAAGAAGATTCTCTGGACCTTAGTTGCATTACAAGTATTGTAGGTGGAGGTGGTCATACATTGATTGTTAATAAGTATGGACAAGTGTTTGCTTGTGGGTCAAACACTATGGGACAATTGGGACTTGAAATGAACACAGAAAATTTAGTATTTGAGAGAATAAAATTACTTGATACCTACCACATTATTCAAGTTGCTTGTGGTTGGAATTCTAGCTTAGCAGTTACGAAGAATGGAGAACTACTTGTTTGGGGGTCTAATGCATATTGTCAATTGGGACTACCAAAGAAAAAGGTAATTATTTTGTTATAATGTATTCATTATAAATTTTTGGTGCAGGTGAACTTCATATGTAATTTTAATTTCACAGATATCATAAAAGCAGAACTACTTTCAACATCCTATTCTTTACTTTGCTGTATGATGCATCACACCAGTTAATTTAAGTGTGCTTATATATTATCATGTTAGTATGTAAGGTGTGGTAGAGATTATTTAATTTTGCTATATTCTAATGTGTTAGATGCTGGAAAATTTAAAGTTGTCATCATATAAAATACATGATCAGTTATTGATAGATCCTGGATTAAATCTTATTCAATGAAGTATAAAATCATGCATACAAACAAAACTGTTTACACTTGAAAGGAAAGTAATGCCAAACACGTTTTGACTTCAAGAGGTCGTCATCAATGGCAAAACAAATTAATTCATATAAATCAATTCAGAAGACTATGGTTTTCTGCAGAGCATAGAAGGTATGTATTTTAAAAAAACATACTTATGTAACACCTCGCTGGACTTTAACTGTACAAGAGTTGGTGTATTCAATTGAGTACTTAGCTTTTATGTCCACTGGCCTGATTGATGTTGTTGGTCTACAATCTGTAACACCCACGCATCATTGAAGTTCACAGGCACAGTCAATGCAACCTCAGCTCACTGTAGACTAACAACAGCAATCAGGCCAGTGGACCTGTAATTCAATGCTATATACTCTGACTCTGAGCTACTGGCAGTATCATACAATAAACCACAAAATCAACCTCTTTTAGTATTTATATGACACCACTCAAACTACTGAAGAAGTGCCATTTCCCATTTTAGAATCCACTGCTCATTAAACAGAACCTCTCTTAATACAGTATTGCTTAATGTAGGTCTCTGGCTTAAGCAGTATTCTAGCAACATATTTTTACCATCTTAATACAGAACTTTTCACATTTTATCTGGGTTTTTGGAGTTTGTACTGATTTTGATGCTATAAATAATGAAAATGATCTCTCTCATATTTCTATAACTTATAACTTTTCCAACCATATGAAAACTTCAGAAATCCTCTTTGCCAGAACCTGTAGTTTCAAATTGAAGAAAAATCCTTGTACTTAAGCATGTAAAATATTGGCATTGTATTGTGGAATACATAAAAGAATACTTGTTTCTGTCCTGTTACAAGGTATAACTGTTGTGTAAATATCTGAGTTTTCTCTATTCAAGAATTTTTCATGTAGTATAACAAATCAGTGCATTTTCAGACCCCTTTCACCAGTATTCCATTAAAAATAGAAGTACCGTATGTGAAGACTGTGGCATCAGGCTTGCGGCATTCAGCTATACTTACAACAGATGGCCTGGTCATGGTGTGCGGTAATGGGAAGAATGGACAATTAGGATTGACAGATAATAATGGAATATCAGTTGCTGAAGTAGAACAACCTCAGGAAAGTATGTAACACATTAATAAGAACATTAAAATTTGAGGGTCTTATGAGTGTCACACCAAATTCCTCTGAAACGCTGATGACCACTTACAAGACCGCACAAAGTCGCATCTGAGACGACCGCAACTGGATGTAAATCTTTTGGATATGAAAGCAGTAAGCATGAGAGCACCCTACTACTATTTTCCAGCCAAGAAATTTAGTCTTTATACTATATAATTATAATTGCTGTTGAAGAAGTTTGAAGGTTCATCACCATGCCTGCATTTGATTATCTGCTATCTGAATGCAGTCTAGCTCCATACAGTTAACGTTCTCATTGTTCATTTTTAACATGTTTTTAGAAAGGAAGAAATATGTGCAGGACAATGCATATCTCTGTGAACACCATTAATAACTTTCAAAGATGTCATAGTCAAGAAAATGATCATACCAATGGTGATCACTCTGATCCTTTACTCTTTTAATTCTTACTTTCAGCAACTCCAAACACATCACCAAGTATTTGAAGTTACAGCAGCACCCTTACTGTCTAGCACAAAATTATGAATAGAAATACAAGTAAGGGTCATAGGACTTTTCCTCTAGCCTCTGCATCCAGACTGACTCTGGGGCCCACACAGCATTTTATCCAGTGGGTAATGCATGGCCAGGGCCTGACATTGACCACTCACGCCTATCTAGTGCCGAAGGTTAAGAATGAGTAGGAGCTACACCTCCTCTCCCTCAAGCACCTACATGGTGTGTAGTGGGATAGCTTTACCTTTTTATCTTATAAGTAATTTCCATGGTCATTTTTGTCACTAATAGAAAATATTCACCCAGCGATCAAGTACATTTTCACATTTATAATGATAACTGATGAATCATTATAGCTGGGCAAAGAGAATTTGGTATTGTGAATCGTTATGATCATGATTACAAATTTTGTATGAAACTTCTTTTAATGTCATAAATGACCTGTTAATGTGCTTGGACATGCAGTAAAATATAGAACACATATCACAGCCACTTCCCTGCACAGTATGATTTATCTAAGATATCAATTCAGTCTCAACATTTCTTAATCAGACTTTATATTCTTCTCTAAGTCAATATGATTAAATGACTAAAACCCATCCCACAGAACCTATCTACTGCCTCACATGATACTAATATGTAAAGCAAAGTTTTTCATTAATGTAAGTAAAATGTACATGTATAATATAAGCCACTTTTGTTTAATGGAGGAAGGACAATACATTATAAGTAAACTGAGGAGTAACAATTCAAATTGTTTGCATAACAGTTCACATTTTTTTTCAGTTCCTGGAGTTACAGATGTCTGTAGTATAGCCTGTGGTCAGCAACACACAGTGGTGATGACATGCAGCAGGAGAATTTTTGTATGGGGAAATAACAAACATGGTCAGTTAGGTGTTGATCCTAGCCTCCATGCAGCCATCTTCACACCCAAAGAAATTTTTATCCCACAGAGACCTGATGCAGGATGCATACTCCTCTCTGGCTGGACACACACTGCTATTCTAACAGGTGCCTGCTCTGAGTTAGTCTGTACTCAAAAGTTCTAAGTTCCTTCCCTTTCATAACAGATACTTCTTTTAACTTACTTGGATACTTGGACGACCCATTCTTCAGTGCCTTGAGCATCTGCTGGGTCCAAACTTTTCATTGGCTCTGATCTATAGACAGTTGGTAGGACTCCTTGGTTAGGTTAGGATAGGTTCTTTAGGTTCGGTTAGAGAAGGTTGTGTTGTTTGACAATATGTTGGTTTGTGTGCTGGAGAATTTCTAGCATGTTCATCGAGTGGTCGTGGATAAGACCTGGAGAGGTTATATGGAAGTTCTTTACTCATGCAGAAATGCTGGAGGAGTCCTTAAGCAGTGGTGGGTTTGATCCTATGCAGGTTGGTTAGGTTGGATTCGTTTAAGTTGTATATAACACGAGGTTTGAGGCAATTCATATTAATACATATATTTTAAAACTGAAATCTGTAAAGTAGATAAGACTGTTTATCAAAGAAGGAACCAAGACATACACAGATGTGAAGATGAACAGTATCTGCTTTGCATAGTTCACATTTACCTTGCTTGCCCACTTCCTTTCCAAAATTACACTGAATGTCTGTTTATTTGTAGTTGATGGCAAAATAATTAACTGGGGAAGAAACACATATGGACAGCTTGGGTCTCATGAATATCAGCGACCACTTTTTTGGAAACCTCAAGTAATGGATAATGTAAAAAATGTGAAACAGTTGGCAGTTGGTTCAGAACATAACATTGCAGTACTTGGTATGTTTGAACTTGTTCTATTTTGATGTACAGTATGTTAATAACAGAAACATTAAAATTTAATAACATATCACAAGAAATATTGTGTAGTTCATTGTTAGTTTTTCTTGTCTGGGTACTAAACTTCATTATGCTGAATTGCAGGATGTTTATAAATTGCTGAACTGTAATTAATGTAATGGTCAAATTTACCCAGAACAGGCAGTATGCTTTAGATAAAACAGTATATCATATTTTTAATATTATCAGGTCTTCTAAGAAGGTTTAATATTTTTAAAGAGGGCAATAGTATGTAATGTTAATTTTAATAACCATCAAACACAGCTATCACTGTTACAGTGGTTACATTATTATTTTATATGTCCTACATGTTTTGGCTTTTGCTCGTCCTCAGAGGCAACGCAACACCTGCGAGGAAGTAGGTGCTTTCACAAAAATGCTGAGATTTATTTTCTTCATAAATATAACAACAGTTTATAGGTGTCTTATTAAAATGTACATTAACATTTCCCCACATCTTTCAGATACAGGAAGAATAGTTAGCTGGGGATGGAATGAACATGGTAACTGTGGTACTGGAACAGATGAAAATGTGCAAGTTCCTACTTCAGTTGGAATGGACATCAAGCAGACAGCACTGATTGTGGGAACTGGAGCAGGACACAGCTTTGCTTTAATTTCTGAATAGATCTTAACGACAAGTATAGTTATAAGTGCTTTAAAAGTAATCTCTCATTCCTATTGATCATGAAGTATCCTACATCAATTCCTTCAAGGTAAAGATCAAATGAAAATCAACACAGCTGAGTGTACTGTATCATAACACTAAAAGCACTGCCTCAGTAATATGTCACCTCTTAACGTTCAGCATAATTATACACAATTTCTGCACTTGCCAATGATTAATTGGGCCCTTATTGCTCCCAGTAAGAATCACTTTAAATTACTAAGGTGCAGTTTTAAATATAATGTACGAAGGAATGTCTTTTCATATCAAAATAAAAGCAGTAATTTCACTTCTCCTGAATTCAGATACTTATATTTTAAAGTGTCTGTACTGAATTAATAGATGCATTTAATTATATTTTACATATGATAGACTTTAGTTATTATTTATGTAGAGTTGATTCATTGGCAATTTGTTTTTCTGGGCTAAAATTTACTTTTTATACGTTCTGCTATTAGAAAATCAATAGATGTATTTAAACAGTGTTTTAAAGCTTACTTTCATGATGTAATACTGTTGCTTAGACAAGATCTACATAATTCTTCTGTGCTCAAACCCCATTCATGAAAGGATGGAGGAGAACTACGAAATCAATATAACAATATTAAATCAAATGTCAGCTTTAAGGGCTGCATTCTGGTGACAAAGTATATGTTGAAACAAAAAGAAACCGAAGTAGCTGTCTAGGATACAAAGTCTATTTTAAAGAATTTCTCAGAGCTACAACAGCACTACACAGATTCAAATTATTTAGTGCCATTATGAAGCTGATTTTCATGTTAATAGCATCCGAGTTTAAGAAGAAACGGACATTCTACCTACTGTACATTGTTAATTGGGTCTATTTTCAAGGCAATACGAACAAGTACCTAAAAAATTGTGTCCTCTGATACATTACATATATGTTTTATGGATTTTTCAGGAAATTAAGGAAACTTCTGAAGCAAAATACATTTTTATTTATGCATTTTACAGAGTAACATAAAGAAAATATTATTTACCAGAATAATAAATTTCTTTCGATCCATTTCATACTTTTATCCTGGTAAGTGATTTGTTCTCCTTGCTTTGATTGCTAAGTTTCTTTAACATGGTTTCTCTTTATTATGTAACACCAGATCCACTGGCTTATGTCCACTCTCTATATATATACTGTTTGGATATTGTCAACCTGAGATTTTGCAACCCTATGACCTAAGGACTAATGCAAATAAATTATACTTTTGTACATTACATGAGAAACAGCAGGTTCTACTGTGCTTCTGGAAGTATGCTACTTTGTGGCATGATTCAACTGTGATATAAATGTTAATCTTTACAGAACATTTCCATAATAAGAATGATTGAGATATAACACATGAAAATTTATATGATCAGTTCAATAAAATATTTATTCATGTACAATATATAATCTAGTCCCACTCCCACCGTGCAGTCCTCATCACTCACATTTGCTCTTCACTGTAACCATTATCATGTTGGTCTGATGAATGAGATAAAGGGCACTTACAAACACTGCATTCGCTCTGAAAGACAAGCAAACAAGTACTGCACCTTACATACACTGACTGAGACATACTGTCTGTAATACTGTATATTTACTCACATCATGAAGTACAATTTTAAAAAGTATTCCTAAAATTTCTTCAAATGAAGTTTTTGAAAATTAAAACTGAAACTACACTATTAACTACAGCATATTTTAATAAAGACTGCAACTAGTTATAGTGAAATATAATGGATCACTGCTCGTATCATACTTGAGAAGAACATTATACTGAAACTGTACTAACTATACCAAACAATTATAGGAGAGTTTTTCCTTAATTCAGGCACGCCATCTACAGAAAGAAATTTATTTAATGTAAAATACTACATAGCCAAACATGGAGTTCCTACATTGCTTGGTTCATGGTTTACCTAATAACACTTGCTTATACAATGAAATGCAGAGAAAGATGTGGAAGGTAGTGTTTAAGGCCTGTTTTAAAGTATTATTCTACATTTGGCTGGAAGAGCTGGACAGAAACAAAAGCATAGAACAGTACAGGTTAAATGTTATGCAAAATTATTTCCATAATTTATACTCTTCACCAAATACCAGAAGAGAAATACTTACAAGATTTTAGCCATAAACCCAGAAGGGAAGAGATCACCCAGGAGACCTAGGTATACATGGGAGGATACTATTAAAAAGGTGTGGGCTGGATTCAAAATTTAAAGGGCAGGTTCCAGGGCTGCAATCTCATGAATATGATAAACTCACCAGCTTAATGACTGCTTCTCAAGAACTGCTACATAGAGCAAGTGAGTGAAAGGTACAGTGACTGATGTCAAGGTTACGTGGAATGAAAGGACCATAGTGAAAGAAATTGTGTCTGTTGCAGTAAGTGTCAGAGGGTGTGTGTGTGTGAAAACAACACTATGAAGTCCAGCTTTGAAACAATCCACGTTCTTGCCACACAAAATTATAGAAATTATTTGCTTAGAATGCCTTAATCTTTATCAATCCCAAATCTCCCATTTGCCTTCCAATAAATAATAGATTCATAATTTGGTCTTACTGTCCCTCTTTGAAGTACTCCTTCAAAGTGTTGCTGAAACGTTTTGAGAACTTGACAAACTCGCGCTTCCGCTGCTCCAAAGCCTGTTTACCAGTGGTTCCGGGAATGAAGCCTGCCACCTCATTCACAGCATCTAGCAATTTCTTAATTGCACTTGCTATCTCCCTAAAGAGAACAAACTTTATTTTATAACTGTAAATCCAAAAATAAAATATGTGATAAAGTAACACAAAAGAAGACATACTTGATTGTTTCTAGAAATGTTTTTCTATCTATTATTTCATCTGGAATCCTGCTCAGAATCCTCTTCAATGCAGATGATTTTCTGTTTAACTCCTGAAATGCATCTTCTGACCTACTCAAACGGTATTCCACGACTGAAAACACAAAAAAATCAGCTATGGTTATCAATATGCATGTACTCATTTCAGACACTACACAAAATACTAAGTAACATATAATTAGAACCGGGATTTTTAGCATTAACACTTCACAGAAGAAAATTAAATTTCAGATAAAGTCATTCAGCAATAAGCATTTACTGGACATCTACAAAGATTGTTCAATAAGTTATAACCTCAGTATGAAAGTGGCAGCAACATGTCTAACGGCAGCATCAATCTCATGCCAAGTCTGACGCTAAACTTTGTTCAGAGTTATGATGCATTCTGTGTGAATTATATGGATTTACAAACACCAGTCTGTAATTACAGTTTCCACAAAAGAAGGCAGAACTCCTAACAAATAAGATTCAGGACCATGCATAGTGCGCTATAACATAGACCTTCAGCTAGGTGCACCAGTGCTGCAAATGACATATGTAGATTTTTGAATATATTTAGTAAAACACCGTCTCCTTTGAGGAACCTTTATCTTTTCAGAAAAGTGTCTAGACTGATTATATGTTCTTTGCTGTAGGCACACACTAATTCCAAATTGTCACTTCTTACATCCCCCTTCTTCTGGCCTGGTAAAATCCAAAAGTAAAATAAAGAAAAGGAAATAGTAGAATATACAGAATAAGAAAGAGGAAGTCAAAATAAGCTATGTGTAACTCACCATCTGATTCAGATGTAGTGCCCTGTAGCCTTAGGACACTTTCATTCATATTGACACTGAGGTCTCCACGCCTCATGATTCCAACCACCAAATCATAAGTAAAACCAGGATGTGCAGCTTCAACTTTTGAAAGAGCAGCTCGAAGGGTTTGTGAAGCAGCAACATCACGTCTTTCCAGCTGCAACATTGTCAATTTCACTATAACAACTAATACAACTAGTTTCTAGATATAACCATGTGAACAAACATTACTTCCTTACTCCATGGAGCCAAGTCCTTCCTAAGAAGCCAACAGTCACTCAGCCACTCAAGAAACTCCCCACATTTTATGGAACCTGAAGGTTCATTACCATGTTCATAAGAGCCCACCACTGGTCCCTATCCTGAGCCAGATGAATCCAGTCCATACCAACCCATCCTTTTTCTCTAAGATACATTTTAATATTATCCTCCAACCTATGTCTAGGCCTCCTTCCTTTTGGTTTACCTACCAGAACCCTGTATGCATTCTTCTTCTCTCCCATGCAGGCTACATGCCTTACCTATCTTATCCTCCTTGACTTGATCAGTATAATTACATTTGGTGAAGAGTAAAACTTATGATACTCCTCATTATGCAACTTTCTCCAGCCTCCTAGTAATGAATCCCCCTTCGGTCCATACAGTCACCTCAGCAACCTGTTCTCAAACACCCTCAGTCTATGTTCCTCTCTTAATGTCAGAGACCAAGTTTCACACCCATACAAAACTACAGGCAAAATTATAGTTTTGTATAGTTTACTAGCTTCTCATCATACAATGTTCAGATTATATTCATTTATTTGGCTTGGATCCTGTAACCACTGCAATTTGGTCTACTTTCTTTGTTCTAATAGTTTTAAACATCCTTCGTCAAACCATGCCTTATGTTGCTTCAATTTATAATAACCTAGACTCTCTTTGGCTGAAATTTTGATATTCTTTCTAACGGTTTCTCAAGCTCTATTGATATCCACATCATCATCATCTAAGTTTTCCACAACTGTCAACAAATATTACATTTCCTTATCTTTATGGTTTCTGTAATGTGTATGCACAGTGGCTGCAAAATCAAAGTTGGAAGGAATCTATTACTGTAATTACCAATAATCACGGTAATTAACTACATTTAAAATTTTATCCAGAATTCTTAAGTGAAAGTTAACTAAACAAAGAAGAAATTATTGGGAATCAACAGCGTGGATTTTGATCTAATCAATCAACTACTGATCAGATAGCCAGCATTTATCAGATACTGGAGAAATATGAGAGTATAGTAAGACTATATTAGCTACTTCTATACTCAAGAAAGCCTATGGTTTAGTTAGGAGCGAAGCACTGTATAACATTATCACTGAATTTGGTACACTGATGACACTGGTTAGGCAAGTACTGCAAAATGTATTTAAATTAAACGTATAGTAAATTTTGTATAGGTAAACAACTGTTTGATGCATTTCCTATTCAGAATGGTCTGAAACTTATCTTTAGAAGGACAAATCAGGAGGGTCCTACAAAACAAATGGACTGGAATAGAACTGGAGACATCAGCTTCTGGTCTATTATGAAGATGTTAATTTATTGGTAGAAAATATAAATATTATAAGAGAACACAGAATCTCTATTACATGCTAGCAAGGAAGTTGGTCTAGAAATAATTGCTTACTGCCACATTTAAATCCATCAATTGCCCATGCCCCATGTGACACCCTGAGCTATCCCAAACTCCTACCCATGCAAAAGCAGTTTTAGTTATTAATTACAATTATCATGGTTGGGGTTCTTAATGAAAAACGTACATTATATAATATGCTACGCAGGGTACAAATTCGTTTAGGTGATGGTGTGTGGAATACAACTCCAATTTCGAAAGACCTATATTCTGAATTTCTAACAACTATATTACAAGAAAATAATCTTTGACATGTCTCAAATATACAAAATAAATATGCAAAGTATTTAAAATCCTGTCTTGTTCTACAAACATAAGACTCACAACAAACATTTTCGCCATTACCTGGGATAAAATAGGGCGTATTAATACAGGAAGAACAAGTGATGTTACTGGTGTCTCATCTCCCATTGTCATCCTTCACAAGATTGTATATTTGACGGCCACCACCACGAACACGGAGTGCTTTGTTACAACCAACTTAAAACACGAACAAGACCACCCACTGCATGGATTAACACCTACAACTATAAGTATAACAACGCTACGTGATAAACGTAATAGAAGTTAAATCAGCTATTTTAAGCAATACTACGACATTTGAGTAACGAAACGGATCGATATATATCGAAGCACAACGAAATCTATGCTCACACTCCCTCAATAGCGCAGGGATAGACCCACAGATGACAATGTCTCTAGCAACATCTTTCGTTATTATCATGTACTCTGTTCAAGTAACTCAACAGCGCTGCGGATAGATGTCACAAATGTACGTTGCACGTAAACCCATTGAGTTGGACCTAGATCGGATACTGCAATTATGAATTGACTGAAAGGTTTCACTGTACAGTTGCAAAATTGTTGATAAGAAAGAGATATTACGTACTGTTTCTAATACCGGTATTTATTGTTCAAGTGACAAAATTTGTACAGTTTTGCTAGTATAATACATTTTCGAAAATTCCACTTTGCAACTCGTTTGAGTGCATCTTGACGTTCGTTTATGCGGGTGATAGCATCCAATAGGGAAGAACAATATTGGGCGCCAAATCCAAAGTACTGTACAGTGAAATAGCTGTATTTGGAACCCCTTCGGAATAGGACACATGTACACACACACACTTTTTTGCTTAGAATGACCTCCCAGAATATTAACCTTTCCTCCTGGGACACTCTGTGTGTGTGTATATAACTCTATATGTAGCAAGA